ACACACGTACACACACAGGTATACACATGTACACACACAAATACACACACTTACACACACACAGGTATACACACACATAAACACACGTACACACACAGGTATACACACACATACACTCACGTACACACACGCACACTCGGAGACGGTGTTTGTGTGCCTGCACTGACACCGACACGCGCGCTCGGAGACGGTGCGTCTTAATGAAATGAGCCGCCATGGCTGGGATGACATTTCTGCAGCGCAGCACCAGGCACAAACTGAGCAGACAGGCATCGGTGCAGCCTGAGCAGGCCGCCGTGCAGGGCCTGATGTACACGCTCATTCAGAAGGGTGGTGTTTGACTCACGAGCCACAGAAGGACAATGGGTTCAATGAACTTAGATAAGATAAGATCACTTTATTGGCCTTGTACAATTTCTTGTATGAGGAATCTGTCTTTTCTCATACCCCAGCTTGCTCTCCATGAGACACCCAGACAGGGAGAGAAGCTGGGGGTCAGAGTGCAGGGTCAGCCAATGGAGTAGGATTCCTCTGCTGGCTGCGGGATACAAACTGGCAACCTTCCAGCAGCAGGTGCAGTGGAGGGCCACTGGAGGCTTAATGACCTGATTGGGATCAGTTGCTCCCTTAATAGGTTAATGACCATTGTTTCCAGCTCTGCATCCAGTGAGGATTATAAATTACCAGTGAAACCTAATATACTGCAGGCCTTCAGGACCAGAAATGAATTTTGCTGCTTTAGGTATTTTTATACTGTTCTGTTTTTGAGATACAGTAGGTGGTCATTCAAAATGTAAAAACACAATTGCGTGCGTCTTTCTACTGAAATTGTGGGCATTTTGATTTAAGCTGCAGGTGATCCTGCTAGATGTGTGTGTTGTAGCCCAAGAAGAGCTCTTTCAGCCTGCTGGCTGTGCAGAGGGGAACGGGTGATGTTCCTGACGAGGAGCCCCTGACAACGAGTCAATTAGACCTGACTGGGAGCTGTGATGGATCAGCAGCTACAGCACTTCACACCAGCTGCTCCAGCGCAGTTTACCTCCAGGCGCTGATTGTGATCGATGTGAATTAAAGAAGCTATTTGACAAGGGAAGATGACTTTTCACTCAAACTATCTCTTCATTGAGGTTGGGTTTCTACACAATTGACAGGCAGCAACAATAGGCTGAACCAGGTTAACTGTTTTGTGTCTCACCTGAAGGAGATTGAATAATATATTTGAGGCTGCCCGTATCCTGCGGTGATAGTGCTTTGGTTTACATGTTCTCAGTGTCTGTCCTACTACACCGGACAGGATCGTTTTGTTTTAGCGTTGCAGCGCCGCCTAGTGTTGAATATCGAGCAAAACATTTCAAATCTCCTAATTTCGAGTGGTACGATAGTACTGGAAAATGATTAAATTGCTAGCTTTTTAAGAAGGCATATTAAAACGACATATCAATCTCACAATTTGAATAAGTTGCTATCTTTTTTGTGAAATAGAATTCTGTTTTTACGTACAAAACGTTAGGGTAACAGCAATGGCGGCGTTTATCCTGTTGTGCCGTAACCCATCATGGCGGCTGCCTTCAGGCTTTCTCTCACGTGACGGCTATTCGCAGGTCTGATTGGTTAACTCCAACGGGGTCGTGCCCAGCTTCCGCTCGAGGGGAGAAGTCGTCAGAGCGCTCGCTGCGCGGCCATCTTGTTTCCCATCGCCGTTAAAATAAAATAAATAATAGGCAGAGCTGGACTTCAGCGCGAAATTCTGAAAAAAGCAGCCGGTGAGTAGGACAGTGGCACTGATTATGGTTGTTTTCGAGAAAGATGAATGGGTTTCTGGGGTTGTGGGATTTATTGCGGGGGTTATTTGAAGCGCCGAGACACTCTCCGCTGTTGTTGATTGTTTCTCAGATGAACAGAGGCGCCATTTCCCTCCGCGCTCTCTGAGGCGCTTATTGGTGGCAACGCTTTACGGAGCGGATAGGCATTGGTGAAACTGCGTCACTGTGCCCGCCATTTTGGCTCCGGGGTGCGCTTCTCTGGCACGGAGTGGCCTTTTCCATGGCGGAGCCGGAATGACGTCCGTTTCACAGGCGCCTCAACCCTAGAAACCTTGATTGGTGGAATCGGGTCCGAGGTTTGATTGGTCTGAGGGACATATCCAAACTTAATCTTTATTGGTTAGAGCCGCTTTCCACAGGTTTTGCGAGCGTTTTTAGGGAAAGTCGCCTTTGGTAGCCGCCCGGCGCGTTTTTTGCGCGGCTCTGGTGCCGGGGGTCCCTCGTCTCTTGTCCCTTTCCCCCGCCGGGGCGTCCTCGCCTGCCGCGGGCAAAGAGCTTCACAAAACCCACACGCCCGGTGCAGGTTCGGGAAGTCTGAGACGGGCCGGGACGCGCAGGCCCGGCTGAGCTGGCGATCGAGTCGGCCGTGACCCCGTCCAGCCGAGCCGGGCGCTTTTCTGCCGCTCAGCGGTGTCGGGCGATGGGTGACCAGATCTGTAGAAACTGATTCCTGCCGCCTGTCCTCCCCTGCGCCTGGAGGATGCAGATCTTCCCCGCCGCCCGTTTCCCCGGACAGTGACGTAGCGCCCGGTCCCGGCGTGTGGTCATCTCTGTCCGGCGCGTCCCACCCGGGCGCTCCTGGTGCGGCCTGGCGCCGGCACACCTCGGGGTGCTGCTGACAGATGGAGACTGCCTCAGCGTGGGGCTCGTCTCCCACAATCCACAAAGCATGAGCCTGGTCCGGCCGGCTCCCCCGCAGGCATGAGCCGTGCTGCTCCTGTCGCTCCCCCGGCCCTGTGCTGGCTGGGAACACGCAGCACAAGGCCTTTCCTCCGAGACGGAGAGGATCGGCACAGGCGGCAGAGCACAGTGTTTCTGCGGCGTCTGAAAACGCACCGAGAGGGCATTCTGTCCAAACGTGGGCCGTCCAGTGCCACAGCTGTGCAGGGAGCGATGATGTGTTAGAATACAGTGTGATCCACAGGAGGAAGCGTCAGGCTGATTGGGATTTTCTCGCCAGTGTGCTCGCAGCCTGGGGTCTTTGGCGGGCTGATGTGTGGAGTTGTGTGGAGTCTGCCTGTCCGACCCTGTGTGGTTTCTGCTGCTGGCTTGTTTCTGGTCTTCGCTGGGGTGCAGCCTGGCGGGCGCCCCACTTCTCTCCCTCCTGCTGCTGCTGTGCTCGAGCTCCACTTTCCCTGCTCTTCCCCCGACGGGCTTGAGGTGGGAGCCAGGAAAAGTGAACCTGTTTTTTAAAGAAAAACATCTGTGGTGCCGCCTTCCTTTGTCAGCCTTATAAAGAGAAAAGAGCGAAAAAAGTTAATTGTGGTTTTCTTGCCCGTGGGTACCAGTTGGGAAGCCATCTGTTTCTGCTCACTGTAGCAAGGGGTCAGGCGAGGGCTCTGCTGTCGCCACTGTTTTGGCGCAGCGAAGAGAGACTCTGTCTGCAGCAGAAGGAGCCGTCACGCACTTTCTGCAGGGTCTGCGTCTCAAAGACGGGCCCCTGTGGGTGTTTCCGCCCTCCTCGTGGGGTGCGGCGCTGTGAGTTCACCGCGGGAGACCAGACACGAGACCGGGCAGAGCTGGGCTGCAGGGGCACACATGCTCGCGCGCGGCGTCGGCCGAGGTCCTGCCCGTGCTCGGGGCGCCCCGGGCGCTGGCGAGCAGGAGGGGTGCGCTGGATCAGCTCGTGGCGTCCTCGGCTTGCCACGCGGGTGCAGCCATGGGGAGCGAGAGCCGTGTCGCGCCCTGTCGGTGGCTGGCCGGCCCTCTGGGCACCCATGAGCTCGGTCAAGGGTACGGCGAGGTCCAGTGTCCACCATCCTCCTGGCCCTCCTGCTGCCCGCTGAGCTGAACCGAGGCTGGTACAGGAGAGACAACGGCATTGGCGAGTGCATTTTGCTCCACAATGAAAGCTCAGTTTACACAGTCGTGATGCAAACTGGAGGTTTTAAACACACAGCAGGTGACATTTCCAGGCACGCGCAGCACCATGTTCTGCGGTTCAGGAGGAGGCAATGAAGTGTCCCGTGACGTGATGCGGCCTTATGAAATTGTAAAGAAGCAGGCCTTAGACCAAAAGTATTGCTCTTGACTTCAAAACTGTTTTGATAACAAATAATCCTTTTATTAACTCTGCATGCGGATGACGTTGGAACATTTCTGCAGTGGAATGTCTGCTGCATGAGCTGTACGTATTTGCTCGTATATTGTGTTACATTAGTCATATTCGTCATTACAGCAGCCAGCGTCTTGGTTCTCACAAACTCTCCTCTTGCCCTGACAGGACCTACAGTCCTTTCGCCAAGTTCACAATTTTGTGCTTAATTCTGAGTTTGTAAAATTTTGTAATACCAGCAATTAATTTATTTTGTTACAGAGATTTAATAACCGGTCTGAGAAATTGAGACTGCAGCTCCTCTTTAACTGTGTTTGTGCTGCCTTATTAATCCGAGTGCTGTGGGGTAGCAGGTCACTTGACCTCTGTGTGATCTCTGCACGATAGCAGCGGGGTAGAGTTGTAAAGTTTATAAGCAGGCTGGTTATCTTAGTCTGCCACTCTTGAAGGTTTGTAAAGTTTTATGGACTGTAATGCTTTTTGTTAGGGCAGAAAGGAGACCAGAGCTTGCAGTGATTTATTGTCGTTCTGTTATTTTCCGATTTTGTGTGTTTGGTGGAGCTGACGTTCCTGTATCGCTCTGCAGAAGGTATTTCAGGCTCAGGTCAGGTCATGTGATTGCGTAAGTGCCTGCGCAGGAGCCGCTCCTCGCTGTACTCCCAGAGCTTGCTGGTCAAGGCAAGGCCTCCTCTCGATGAGGCCACAGGGTCCTAAGAGGACCCGCGTTAAGCTTCCTGCACTGTCAGAGCGCTTGGGCTCCGTTTATCAGCAGTTTGGGTATGGGATGTCTTAATGTCCCAGTGAAACGCAGGCCACGTGTGATACACGTTTGCATTGTGCATTTTAGTCAAGGCTGCGCTGGTTCTTGGTTTTGGCCCGTGCCCTGTTCCTTGCAGTAGTTCAGTCCTCTGGATTAAATCTCATTGCAGTGCTGGTGTTTAAAAGCTGTTTCTTCTCTGATATACCGGTGCCACTGTGGGTTCTCCACCCATGCCCTTCTTGTGTAATTAAGTGATGTTCTGACATCTCCCAGAGATCCAGGTGTGTGGAACCAAGGCCTTCTGGTCCTTCTACCGACAATTAAAACAGTACTCGGACTAAACTTATTTTTAGTATTGATGAAAGCAGAGCACCACAGAACCATCTGCCTGTAAAGTGTGATGAATGAAGGCTGCTCCCATTGAAATGAGTTTGTAATGCAATTATTTTTGTGCTGGGCTGTGCTTCTTGGGCCCTCTCATTGAATTAGAGCAGTGCAGCAATGTCTTGCATCACACAGGTAGAGCTGAGTTGGTTTATGTTTCAATATCGCATGGGAGAGTGACCTTGTGCTGCGTCCCTGAAACTCGCACTGTACTCTCGCCCACTGCAAACGTTAATAATTCCACAGGCAGCCCGAGCCTGGACTGGTGTGGCTGAGTGGATGTGTTTTCTGTACGGTTATTGAGTCCACTGCCTGCCTCTGAACCCGCGAGCTGCGTTCCAAAGACGGGGACAGATATTTCTCGCCTCTCTTGTCTTCCTCTCTCCCGTGTGGTGTTTGCTGTGGGAAGTTTAATTTGGTTTCTGAAGGCCTTTTGGCACAGTAGGGATTCGCTGTAATGCAGGAATGAGCCAGGAGGAACTCCTGCATCATCGTGCAAAGTCATTCCATGTGCCCCCTGCGCCAGGAGTGCGATGCCCCCCCCCACCAGGATGGTCGGCCTCTGCTGGCCCCTGTCTGGCACACCCGTTAGTGTCGCAGCCGCCTGGAGTGAACTGTCAGCGCATGATGCGGGGGCCAGCGATAGGGCCCCCTTCCTCCACTAGCCCGGGTGCCGGCCAAGCCCAGCGTACCCCCTCTTGGCCAGCTTGGTCTTCCTCCTGCTCTCTGTGCTCTCCCCACCTCAGCCAGGGGCCACACGCCGTCGCTCTCCGCGGCCTCTGCTCCAGCCGTCGGCGCCCTGTAACTCCGGTTCTCCGAGATGCTCTGTGGCGCTCCTGGCGGCTTGGCCGCCCCCCCCCGCGCGCTGGATAAGCTCGACCTTCCCGCCCTCGCGAAGCTCCTTCCTGTCCCGCGGCTCATCTGGGAAGGAGTGCTGAGCCTGAGCGCGAGACGGCCGTGTGCTGAGGGGCAGTCTTGGGTGGGGAAATAACAGGCTGTCCAACAGCGGCCTGGATCGTACACCTGGAGCTAGTTCAGGTCCGCCGCCTTCTCACCTGCTGCTGGCTGCCCTGGCTGGAGGAACTGGGAACGCTCCCTGGCTCCGGGCCGCCTTGCCGCCTGGACGAACGTGCCGCAGGGTCGCTGGCGAAGGAGGCGCAGGGGCTGCTCCCCCTCGACCAGCCCCGGCGCTGGACTCCGGGGAAAGCTGCTCCACTGTGGTTTCATCCACCTGCCGCCCCGCCCGCTCGTCCGGACTTTCCCACCCCAGCTGGCTTCGCGCTGAGCCGCCTCGGGCAGGAGCCCGGGCGATACTGCCGATTCTTCCCCTTTCAGCACTTTCCCGGCCTCCTGGAGACGCTCATCCCAAAAATTAATTAAGTGCGGAACGTTCTTGAGTTGTTTGCACTTTGTGTTTAAATCGCTCAGTTCAAGAGAACATTTTATTTCCTGCTTGCTGGGGAAGTTACTGGTAAAGCCAGAGGCCTCAGGGACATGAAAGTGCAGTTTAACAGTAAGGGA